ATGGAAAAAATATAAACTTAAGGGTCTTTATTATTCTGTATACATACAACTGTAGAAGATTTTCGTACTATAAAAAATAAATTATGTGGCAAAAAATAAAAGAAAAAAAATTGATGTGGACAAGAATCAAACAGGCGGATTTTGAAAATCCGTTTTTATTTTTAAAATGGATTTTCATAATCCGTTTTTTCTTTCTTTTTTTTTTTTTTCTGTAATGGATTTTTCATTTTTTTTTTTAGATCGGATTGTGAAATTCGGGCTCGTTAGGGCTCGTCTGAACTCAGAATTGAGTTCCGTTTTTTCTTACATGTCGCCAACGAAGCCTTCTACGTATTTATGCTTTCGAATCTAATTTATTCTTGAAAACCTATTCTCTCAAAGCTCTTGACCTGAAGTTGGCAACTTACGTGCACGACTTCACATATCGGCCCGTTCGGACTCGTCCGAACTCGAAATTGAGTTTCGATTCTTCCTACATGTCGCCAACAAATCCTACTACTAGAGCATACTTTATTGACCAATTTTTGGGCTGGAACATATTCCTTGCGGGGTTTTCTTCCAAAAACGGGGAAAAAGAATAAAAAAAATGAAAAAAACTAGCAAAATTCGGGCTCATTTTGGCTCGTCCGAACTCGAAATTGAATTCCGTTTTTTCCTACATGTCGCCAACGAAGCCTTCTATATAATTATTCTTTCAAATCCAACCTATTCATGAAAACCTATTATCCCAAAGCTCTTGACCTGAAGTTGGTGGCTTTCTTGCACGATTTCGCATATCGGGACCGTTAGGACTCGTCTGAACTCGAAATTGAGTATCGATTCTTCCTACATGTTGCCAATGAATCCTACTACTAGAGCATGGTTTTTTGACCAATTTTCGGGCTGGAACTATTTCTTACGGGGCTTCCGGCCTAAAACGAGGGAAAAGAATAAAAAAAGAAGAAGACTAGCAAAATTCATGCTCGTCTGGGCTCGTCCGAACTCGAAACTGAATTTTGTTTTTTACTACATGTCGCCAACGAAGCCTTCTATGTAAGTATGCTTTCAAATCCAACCTATTCTTGAAAACCTATTATCTCAAAGCTCTTGACCTGAAGTTGGCGGCTTTCTTGCACGACTTCGAATATCGGGACCGTTCGGACTTGTCCGAACTCGAAATTGAGTTTCGATTCTTCCTACATGTCGCCAACGAATCTCACTACTTGAGAATGCTTTTAGGGAAATTTTTTGGGCTGAAAATATTTCTTGCGGTGCTTCCGACCTAAAACGGTGGAAAACAAGAAGAAAAACGAAAAAAAAACTAGCAAAAATGTACTAATTTAAATTCAATTGGACTAATTCGAGTTCAATCACACCATAATTGACCGAGATTGTACTAATTTGAGTTCAATTGTACTAATTCGAGTTTGATTACACCATAATTGCCTGATATTGTACTAATTGACTTTATATTGGACTAATTCGAGTTCGACTACACCATAATTGACTTCGGTTGTACTAATTTGACTTTGATTATAGTAATTTGACTTCAATTATACTAATTTGACTTCGATTGGACTAATTCGATTTCGATTATAGTAATTTAACTTCCATTGCACTAATTCAACTTCTATTTTAGTATAATTGACTTTGATTGTACTAATTTGACTTCGATTGTAGTAATTTGACTTCGATTGTACTAATTTGACTTTGATTGTACTAATTCGACTTCGAGTGTACTAATTCGACTTCGATTGGACTAGAATGACTTCGATTGTACTAATTTGACTTTGATTGGACTAATTTGACTTCGATTGTACTAATTTGATTTCGATTGGACTAATTCGAGTTTGATTGGACTAATTTGATTTTGATTATAGTAATTTGACTTTGATTATAGTAATTGGACTTCGATTGGACTAATTCTAATTCGATTACACTATAATTAACTGTGATTGGACTAATTCGAGTTTGATTATACTAATTTGACTTCGATTTGAGTAATTCGAGTTCGATTGGACTAATTTGACTTCGATTGGACTAATTTGATTTCGATTGTACTAATTTGACTTCGATTGTACTAATTTGACTTCGATTGTATTAATTTGACTTCGATTTACTAATTTGACTTCGATTGGACTAATTCGATTTCGATTATAGTAATTTACTTCGATTGGACTAAATTGACTTCGATTTTCGTATAATCGACTTCGATTGTACTAATTTGATCTCGATTATAGTAATTTGACTTTGATTGGACTAATTCTAGTTCAATTACACTATAATTGACCGTGATTGGACTAATTCGAGTTCGATTATACTAATTTGACTTTGATTGGACTAACTCGAGTTCGATTGCAACATAATTGACCGTGATTGTACCAATCACGGTCAATTATAGTGTAATAGAACTCGAATTAGTCCAATTAAACTCAAATTAGTACAATTTTGCTAGTTTTTTTTTTTTGTTTTTCTTTTTGTTTTCCCACGTTTTAGGTCGGAAGCCCCGTAATAGATATTTTCAGCCAAAAAATTTGCCGTAAAAGCATGCTAAAGTAGTAGGATTCGTTGGCGATATGTAGGAAGAATCGAAACTCAATTTCGAGTTCGAACGAGTCCTAACGGTCCCGATATGCGAAGTCGTGCAAGAAAGCCGCCAACTTCAGGTCAAGAGCTTTGGGATAATAGGTTTTCATGAATAGGTTGGATTTGAAAGCATAATTATACATAAGGCTTTGTTGGCGACATGTACGAAAAAAATAGAATTCAATTCGAGTTCGGACGAGCCCAAACGATCCCGAATTTTGCTAGTTTTCTTCGTTTTATTTATTCTTTTTCCCCGTTTTTGGCCGGAAGCCCCGCAAGGAATAGTTCCAGCCCAAAAATTAGTCATAAAAGCATGCTCTAGTAGTAGGATTCGTTGGCGATATGTACAAAGAATCGAAACTCAATTTCGAGTTCAGACGAGTCCGAACGGGCTCGATATGCGAAGTTGTGCACGGAAGCTGCCAACTTCAGGTCAAGATCTTTGGGAGAATAGGTATTCAAGAATAAATTAGATTCGAAAGCATAAATATGTAGAAGGCTTCGTTGGCGACATGTAGGAAAAAACAGAATTCAATTTCGAGTTCGGACGAGCCCTAACGAACCCGAATTTCACAATTCGATCTAAAAATAAAAAAATTAAACAACGGATTTTAAAAATCCGTTTAAAAAAAAAATTAAAAAAAAAATAAAAACGGATTTTGGAAATCCGTTTTTTAAGAAAAAACGGATTTCCAAAATCCGTCCGTTTGATTCTTGTCCACAACCATTTTTTTTTTTTTATTTTTCGGCACAGATTTTTCTTTTTTTTTAATTAAATAAGCTACCCATGATTAGGGGTGAGCATGGTGCGGTTCGGTGCAAAACCGCACCGAACCGCAAAAAACCGAAAACCAAATTTTTTCATTTACCCAAACCGAACCGCACCGAAACATGTAGAAAAACCGAACCGAAACCGCACCGAAATTTTCGGTTCGGTGTGGTTCGGTTTCGGTTAACCGCAATTTTTTTTTTTAAAAAAAAAACCCAAAATAAAATGAAGCTACATCATCATCATCTAATGTGCAACATTATCAAACCAAAAGCCCAAAATTTGAAA